AACGGAGCTGTGGAAGCTACAGCAACTTTTTTAGGTGAGAAAAATATCATTAGCAGCTACTTCTAACTCATATGGTTCTGCTGGCACCCTTCGGCAACATCTTCGGGGCTATTCTGTTCATCTCCTGAGAGGACCAAGGCAAACAGCAACAGCCACCAATAAGTAACACCCAAAGAAACAGTGTGCAAAGTGTGTTTTTGCTGTACAACTCTCAGTAAGGTGCTCAGAAATAATCACAAAAAATACAGATATAAAATGTGCCTTGCATTTACACAGGTATGGAAAGGCTCTGAAAGAAGGTTAAGGTTTCATTTTTCAATTTTCAGGCTCAGTAACATCCATGGCAATTGGATATGTCCGAATAAACTGGGACCTTTCCGGTGAACTGGCTTTGGGGATTTTCTCTGCAATGGACGCTGGTTCTCTCTTCCTCATGCACTTCTCTGACAACATCTGGGCCTGTTACGCAGGTTACCTCGCGTTCAAAGCCTGCTATATGCTCCTCATAACAATAGCCACGTAAGTACAATACACAACTGCTCCAGTTTAAATTGCTTTGTATTACTGAGTGTCAGATTTTAAAACTCATACTTTACTGAAAGTCTCCCTAGAAATAAGACTTTTTTTAAATATGTCATGGCAGCAGAACATATTTCTAGTTTAGCTAAAGCTATGCTTAAAATTATGCACAACCTGACCATGATAGCATCTGACTTGGAATAACCTACCTTATTCAGCATTTGACTGTTCAATGATCTATGTACAAGTATTCTCTAGATGATCCGATGAACATAGCTGTCTTTCTGTAGCAAAAATAACCAAATATGTAAAAGCTAAGTGCAATGCCCAATAGTCCCAAAGCCAGAAAAATATGAGATTTCTGTTGTAATGACGCTGTTACAGATTAATGACCAGGATTAAAGAGGCTTTGTCCCTTGGCAAACACACTGTGCACACAAACCCCGTGCCAGCTTCCTCCCGTGGGGGAAGTGCAGACGTGCTCACTGCCCCCAGGGGAGCTCACCTGCAGGCTCCCTTCCAGGTTCCAGATCGCCATCACCCTGAGCATGGAGCGCTACGCTCTGATGTTTGGCTTCAACAACTTCATTGCTCTGGTGATCCAGACCATTCTGACTGTTGTGGTGGTAGATTCAAAAGGTCTGGGACTGGACATCAGCACCCAGGTAAGCTATGTGACCTGCACCGCTCTTGTTCCCCGTGTCTCCTCCGGGAGAGGGTTCTGCTCCTCCAGGATCAGCCTGTGGGAGGACACCACGGGATGTGCCTACCTGGGACAGTTACTCACTTGGAAAACTACTCATTTCCATTGAGCTGGCAGTAGCTACCACAACCTATTTGTCCTCCAGTCCCACCAACTTGGCATTTCAGCAGTCATTTGAGGAGCATTTTCATGGAGCAGAAAGGAAAGATCACCACCTACTACTTACTCAGCATGTTGGTTTGTTTGTATTTTTTATTTAAAGGCTTACTGCTCATAGCTTTATTGCCAATGTCCCAAGGAAAAGCAGGAAGCAAGCTGAACAGCAAACTGTCTATTGCTAGGGTGGTGCTAACTTAGATATGTCATGGGAGGCACCACTGAGGTACTATAATTAAGTCAAGCAGGCAGCCATCTTGAATTCTTCCATGATGGGACCATTTTGGGTGACAGGGAAGGGAAGGCAGCAGTGAGGGAACACCCCTTTGGTTATTAGCTAACAGCAAAAGCAGCTTTTGACTCTTTTTCCTCCTTCCTCACTTCCATTTCCCAGTTTCTCATTTATGGCAGCTACTTTGCATTGATAGCTGGAATTTTCCTGGTCAGAAGCACATACACCATTATCTCCACCAAATGCAGAAGGACCAGTGGGGCTGGTGAAAGTGCTGGTCATGGACACTGGGGACCAGCAACGGCTGCGAGCAGCAGCACAGCAGCTGTGCCACGTGAGCACTGAGCGAGGAGGAACATCACCCTCACCACAGTGAGACGGGGCTGCGCAAACCGGGCTGCTGCCGAGCCTGCAGCAGGGGCAGCGCTGCCCACACCACCGTCCACTTCTGCCCCTTGTCTTCACCAGTCCAACACCAAACAGTCCTCCAACAATCTTCTGTTGCAACTCAAATGAAGCTACGTGCCACCAAGGCTTCTAGTAATGCTCAGCAAGCACAACAAGCAACTACCAACAAGACACCTGACCCTCACCACAGCAGAACTTCACGACCTTCAAGCTTTCACCAAGTGTCTCAAAGGCAATTTAGTCACGGACACAGGACCATCAAACATTCCCAGGGGATTTAAAGCAGCAGTTACCCCATAGCAGCACAACCACCTCCTGGAAAAACATCCCACACAAGCCTTCAAGAAGCTGAAGGCTTTTCCAGCTGCAAGTTGTTATATGCATTTTTAAATCAGTTATTAAGAAGCAATAAACCACTTTTTTCCCATAGCAGCACAACCACCTCCTGGAAAACATCCCACACAAGCCTTCAAGAAGCTGAAGGCTTTTCCAGCTGCAAGTTGTTATATGCATTTTTAAATCAAGTTATTAAGAAGCAATAAACCACTCTTTTTTCCAAACAACACTACTTTTCCATGTTCCCAGGTGGATTATACAACTCTGTAAAGTACAACCCTTGTCCAAAGCTTAATTTACATCAGTTTAGGTGAAGAGAGCACAGGACTGTGCCCCTTCCACAAGGCTGTTCATCCCATTTATGAGTGATGTGGCTGATTTGGTTCAGTTTGCTGCAATAAGGACATTTAAGTGTTCTATGAACCCTTCTGAGGCCTCTATTCCATCCCTGTTTTACTAGCCCAAAAAATACTAGCCCAAAAAAAGGCAAGGCTCAGCCACAGGGAAGAGCTACAGCACTTCACACCATGCCAAACCCAGTGGTGAGAGCAACAGCATCACCAACATCCTGGACACTCACATGCTAGGGATTTCTTCAGGGAATTTTTCAGAGAACCCTGGGAACTGAACAATCCCCACCATCCCCTAGCCAGCAGTTCACATCAGAAAAGAGACTTCCAGCCTAAGTTTACATATACCAACAGGAACAATGCAGACAGTTAGGTGAGGAGTGTGTTGTATACTCTGCCTGCTCCCTGCTTTGGGATCTCCAAAGCATCAGAAAAAAAAAAAAAAGGGTAAGATACAGAGATTGTTATGCCCCACCACAGGCAGGCAACTGAATTCAAAAGCACAAAGCTCTGGCAGATGTGTTTTTACAAGCAGCAGTGAAGTCCTTCAGCTCTCCCAGAAACAAGCAGATCCAGCATCCCAGCAGTCAGTGGCAGGTGAAAGGTCTTACCCTGGAGAGCTTCCACCTCCATCTCCAATGGGCTTCCAACACTTCCCTTAAAATCAGTCTGATCTCATTTTTTCCTGTGATCTTGCAAACTGATAGAATTTGATTCTCCAGCTGGTCAGAAACCTTCAAGCACAGTTTATGCATTCACAATACATTCACATTACTTGCTTAGTTCCAGCATTACACTTGAACTGCAGTCACATCATTCCTGTTTAGAACACCATCACCAGCCACTGTGACAGTTATGTTTTCTTGAACCTTCCTACTGTTAGAGACTCAACAAAACAGATATTTCCCCCCCTACAAATTCCATTTGACAACAGCAGGAAACATTCCAGTAAATGATAATAGATGAACTCAGTACTCCCCAGGAGGTCTCACTAACCCGTATCCATCTTCACTAGCAAGTGCAGTTACACCCACAGTGCCTTGCCCTGCTGCTGTCCCCACCACAACCCAGCCTTGCTCAAAGCCTCTTGCTAGCTGCCCGTAACCCCATGGTTTTTGCAGCTAGCCCCTCCGAGGAAACAGCTCCTCGGAGCCTCCAGTGCCCACCATGACACAGCTTCTGTCACAACCACCCCAAGCTCCATGAACCTTCCCCAGCTCGACAGCCTGCTCCCCTCCAGCCAGGACAGCTTCAGCTCAGGGGCACAAATGCACACGTCCAGGGGACGCAGGTGAACACACAGAGCCTCCCTCGCCTTGAGTTTGTTGCTCTTGCTAACTCACCTGTGCACGGGACTCACATGACACAGGTTTTAACCCACCAAAGCATTACTGCACAGAAATGATGCTACACAGTTCATTTTGCTAATCTTTATTTTTTTTTTCCACCTGCAAACTGTAGCAAAACATGATCAGCTTTATTATGCAGACAGGTGTCCCTCTAACATTAGAGATTTAGGCATGTATAAATAGAAGAGCTCTTAGGAAAGGAAAACGTTTTGAGAAATGAACAAACCTTCAATTTAACTTCATGACTTCCAATACCAATGGTTAAAATGACACTGCTCGTTCATTCCAAGAGATACAACAGCACCTTCAAGTGGCTGATCTATTTCCCAGTAACATTTTTCACATAACAATGTGTTAAAGTTACAAATACTGATATGCACAAATACCTATTTTCTAAGAAAAATATGTACAGTACTGCAGCATAATGAATGTGGTATCTGCAATAACTTATTTGCCAATTTTAATATACATGATACCGCTACTTTTCACCTGCCAGTTCACAGGTTCAAGGATGTTACCACAGCCCTCTGGTTTGCACGTTATTACCTGGTGGGGGGTTGACTCTCTCAGGTTTTGTGTATTTTATGGTGGTGTTTGTTTTGTTTTGTTTTTGTTTTGTTTTTTTTTAATTTGTTTGTAAAGGTACACAATGCAGGCTTTTATTTTTACTTCTTAAAGACTTCTTTTGTGTTTAAAGCTAATATCAGTGAAACAAGACAACAGTGCAAGAGGCGCAGAGATGTTATGTGACCACGTAAGAGTTCTTTTGGGTAAAGTGTCTATAAGGCTATAAGAAAGGATTGGTTGATGAACTTCCTGTTGGAAATGGTCCTGTTGGTGCACCAGCCTGGGGGAAAAGGAGAGAGGAAAAATAAGACCAATTTTTTTCCCCCCCCCATATTGTAGATAATAAACACAGGATATGTAAACAAGAAAAGCAATTATTTCCTAATAGGCAGACTAGTGCAGCCTGATTTTATCTCTGGTGGTTTTCTCAAAGGACAGCACTGCAAGAGCATAGTGTGAAGTACCTCTGCCTTGCCTCGAACAGCCGTACAAGTGCTGTGCCATCCTAACACTGGCTTGCATTTAGGAGATTCACACACTGCCTTCCCTGACTTGAAGCAAAAAGAAAATATAATGTTGGTGTGTCTCTAAATGAAGTGTTACAGATGCCAGCTCTTCAGACACAGAGAAGTTATTAATATCAATGCAACAGCTCACTTACCATAAAAGGGTTACTAGATACTCCAACAGCTGCAACTTGTCCAAAAGGAGTTACTACAGGCTTTGCCTGTCCAAATGCACCAAAACCTGCTCCTTGGAAAGATAAGTGAAAATATTAATACTAGTAACTCATCTGCAAGGAGTTCTTTGCTGCAGCTCCCCCAACAAAAATAAGTGGAAGTTCAGAGTGCTCTATCAGAAGGACCGATCCTACTTAAACACTGTCAGGGATGCAAGTGTCAAAAAAACCAATATGGCCAGGCTTTTTGTTTTCAACTTTTTGGAGCTCATCAAATTCCTACATGTGCACTTTGGCAATGTCATTTTATCATTTAAATATAGGGAGAAAGTGCTTTCCCATTTTCTCTTGCCTGTGCTCTATGAAGTTAGAGAAAGTGTTAGAGACTCTCCAAAAATGCGAAGACAAACAATCCTCACACAAAACCCCTTGAAGCCTGGGAATACTTTTAACTGTAGTATCAGGTTATGGTAACATTGCAGTTACACTGCCACACAACTGAGTCAGGAAGCCCAGCTACAGAGCCAAAGCAGAGCGTGGGACCCCCTCACCCACCCCGTTAGGGGGGTGCTGCAGGTGGAGCCCCGGGGCACAGACCTACCGTTGGGCTGCTGAGCAAACGCCGCCTGCGCCGGGAACGCCGCCTGCCCCGGGAACGACGCCGGCTGGAAGTTGCCACTGAAACTAGTAGGAAGACTGTAGGAGGCAGGGGTTCCAAATCCTGTGGGCATGCTCATGGACGCAGTACCGAATGTGGCTGCTGGCAGGCAAAAATAACACACAATTAATAGTAAGAAAACATTTTTCTTTCAACAAGTTACCACAAGGCCACATTAAGAAAAAAGTCTCCTAATGCCTCAGTGACCGTGGTTCAGTTTCTACAGCCACTGAACTGGTTTGATAAACTTGGGTCACCAGCTAGGTGCACCCATTTACTGCTGCACTTTAAAAAAATCAATGGAATAATTTAAAATTTACTAGATCCAGCACATTCATAAAAAGGAATTTCCTTCTCAGAAAAGACATCTTTTCTCTATGTTATCATACACTTCCCCCAGAGTTTTTCTGCTAAGAGTCTGTACACCCCAGAAGCAAGCACCTTCAGGCAGCACAAACCCCTCTGGTTTTCCCCTCCTTAGAAAAGCATGAAAGGATCTTCCCACTTCAAACTGCATTACAGGAAGTTATAAGCAAAAGAAAAGAAAAAGAAGAATCCTAAGGGATACATGCATCCCCTATCTCTTCACCCCATCCTTGCAGTTACTTGGAAGGAAACTGTCACCATGCACATCATTTGCACACAAAGTTCCTACTGCAAATGCTCTTACTGCTGAGGTACAACTTAACACAACCCAAAACTTTTCATCTGATTCTCTGCTCAACACGTCAAGTAAAGAATACACAGTTCACATGCAGTTCCACATGCCTTCAGCAAATAAAAAGGAGCACATCAAGTGCAGAACTGCAGTAACAAAACCATTATTCAGTCTTTTGGGAGGTATTCTTGAAAGAAGAAGTGCATAGAAGGGTTCTTGGTACAAACACAGACACCAGGCATACTATTCTAGTTAAACATTAGACAGGACTTCTTTAAATGGTACAAGTTAATTTTATGCAAGCCCAAGTCTTTAAAATAATTAATATATATAATGAATCCAGCTTTACTGTCAGTTTGAAAATTTACCCCAAAAGTATTCAAGGGCAAGATACTGTACATACATAAACACTGCACAAGCAAGCACTAAACTGATGTACTAACATTGTCCTCAAGTTACAGTTAGAGAAGCTACTGAACAGGAAAACTTGCTAGAACAGCCAACCAAAGCACAAAAAAAGTGAGCAGACTTGGGATATCCCAAAAGGCATCAAGCTACTGTTGGTGCACACTTCAAGAGCCACTCAACTCGTTAGCTTCACATTGTGACCATGGAGGACACCAATAATGGTTTTGTTTCAGTTGCTCAACAGGGTGTCTGTGTGCTCTTCTCCCCTGTTGCCCAGCTGCCAAATACCCACACCCACTCCATTTTAAAAGCCAGAAAGTCTTCCAAAATTCTGCGTGCAGAGAACCAGATAGTTATTGATAAGCTTTGACAAGCAAGGACAATGAGCCACAAGAAACTGGATACCAAATGTGGCCACCTACCAAAATGAGCCTGAGGAAATATGTGAGAGTGCATTGCTCCCGAGAGGCCTTATGGAAGCCACAAAGAGACCAGACAACGTCAAATCATTTATACACTCTTCAACAGTCATTTCTTAGTTAGAGAAATATACACACGTATATGCACCAAGCAATTCACCCATAGCATCACCAGCAATACAATAAGCTAAGAAACCCACCAGAAATAGAAACACACACTACGAAATGGATCTCTCACATAATAAATAGCAAAGTCCATGCAGAAAGAAAGCTCAGCATAGAAGGACAAGCAACAAGGTGACACCAATACACTGGAAGGGGTGGAATATAATCTCTACTCATAATCACTCTCCCTGTCACCTAGTACATAATATCAGAGTAGCTGCCAAAGGGCTGGAACCTCTGCGAGCCAAGGGCAATGGCGTAGATGGTGCAAGGGCAGAGTTGCCATATCCAAACCCATTTATGTGAGGAGGCTACGAGTTATTAACAATGATCCAAAATAGCACAGTCGGGAATCAGATTCAAATACAGAAAAAACATTTTTCATTATTAAATAGCTGAACATGTTTAACTGCATAGTATCTCCAAAGGGACTGAAAACAGAACTCATTTTAACATAGGACATGAATTTGATAAACTGAGTTTCAACTCAGCTTGGTCTGTTTAATTCAACCTACCTAAAACTTTCAGGAAAGCACAACTTCCTGTTAAAACACATACATCAGTGGATTTTAATTTGTGGATGGCCAGTTAACAGATGAAAGAGTCAAGATTTAGCAGTGCCTTTGGAGAGGAAAATTAGCATCATCTAGCAGTTCAGAAATCCAAGTTCAGTGTTGCAAATGAAAGTACACATTTGCTTTTTAAAAAAGTGACTCAGTTTTCGTCTACGGAATTACGATTCCACAGAATCCTACTATAGAACACTAACATAAGCAATGAGCCTAAAGATTATATTTAAAGATATGCTTTACTGTTACAAGAGAAGAAATAAAGGCCCTCACCACTGTACTAAGTGGGCTGGTGAGGAGCCGAGAGCCCCAGCGCCTTGACTTTCCTGGTTCTCGCTCCAGCTCTTTGGTTTTGAGGGTTTTCAGGACTTTGAAATAAATTAAAAAAGCAAGTGTACCAGTTTAGCTACAGAGCTTTCAAGATCCCTGATTTCAGGGCAACCTGCTATGAACCATGCGTGCTTCAGACCAAGGTTATAGTCTTGGAAGATCCCCAACTGGTAATACATGGACTACAGATAGCTTAGACAGCATTAGATCTTAGACTGACAGTTGGGATTGCAAATGCTGGCCATGACAAGACTGGGCCAGAAACAGGAAAAATAATGTACTCAGCCCAATAAAAAAACATCACTTAAGTGAAAAAGAAAGCAGATGCTGATTTTTTTGCAGCCTATTCATAAGTATTGTACTCTACAGGTGGAACATCTCACACACCCCCTCCCCAGTCTCATATAGCCTAGAGGCAGGCAATACAGAAAATCTTTCAGAAGATATTACAGAGCTATGAAAAAAAGAATCAATGCAAGTTCTGAAATAAATCTTAAACACTTAGTGTTTTTTTTCTAACCTGTTGCTCCTCGGCTATTGGTCTGGAATGGATTTGTTGAAGGTGCCACTGGGGCAACAGGGGCAGCTACAAACGGATTTGTGGAAGGTGTTGCTGAAAGATTAAAAACATATAAGTTAATAAAGTATTTTTAAAAAGGCCACCTGACTCACATACTTTATACAGCTTTTATACAGAGATACCCAAGTATCTAAAGTTACATGAAAAATTAAGAATCGATAATCAAATGCTTAGTTTGAAATGCATCACAATGACAGTATATTTTTGGCATCCTTTCAGTGACTTCAATATCACCAGTGTCAAAGCACAGCACTATGAACTAGAAATTAGTAAGGCGTCTGCTTAGAGTCCACAGAAGGTGTTAGTAACACTGATATACCTCCGAACGGAGCAGGCACACTCGAAGACGCAGGCTGTGTCTGTGCTGTAGCAGCCACGGGTACTGTTCCAAAAGCATTGCTGAAAATAATTCATACATTCAGTGAAGTCAGAATTGCTGTTTTAACAATTCAATACAACTTACAATTTTTATTAGCATATAGAAGTAACTGAGCCCTTGGTGCCAGTGTCAGAGACCATAACTGGTGCTGAGCAATGAAGAGTCACCTCCACAACAGCAGGAGAACAAATAGTGGACAGAGGCCACCATCAAAAGGTTGCAAAGCAGAAGCTTATGGGGCACTTGCAATACCAAGCAGAGCTAGAGGAGGCGTTTGGTATTTATTATATTGAAGACCTGAAAAAACAAGTGGTTGACACCATTTACATTATAAGTATCTGACTTTTTTGCCAGGGAGGATGCTATGATTTTCAGTGTGCATGCAGATACTCTGTACAGGAAAGTGTTACCATCTAACAGGTCTAGCTCAGAATGACTAGGAAGGTGCATAGAACATTCTGCTGCCAGAAAGTAATCTTAACTTCATAATATCCTATCTGAGAGCACTGCTGCTATTTAAAACAAAGGATGCAGTTCCAGTAGTACCTCTAAACTCCTTCAGCATTGCTCCACTTAGCTAAGAAATAAAGCCAGATCTGAGAAGCAACTTTGAGCGGCTTGTCCGTGTGCCGCCGGGCCCAGCGGGCGGCCAGCCCCTGCTAAGCAGTACCTGCTGACGTTACTGGTGGCAGTGTAGGCGTTGCTGGAGGTGGCCGTGGAGCTGAAGACGCTGTCCAGCTCCGCCAGGGCCGCGTACTTGTCCGAGGACGCGCCGGGCTGGCTCG